TTGTTGCAGTTTGGCCGGGGCTGGGTTTGAACCCGCCACCCTCGGTATATGGGGCCGGCGCCTTACTCACTGAGCCACAGGCGCCTTCCACAGGCTGGTCTTGAAATCCCCCTCTTCAAGTCCTTCTCGCCCCTCAGTTTCCCAAAGTGCTAGGATGACAGGCATGAGACACTGTGCTGGCCCTGTTCCCTTTTTATAGGAGAAAAAAGTCTGAGGCAGACAAAAGTTTAGTAACTTGCCCAAGGTCACACAGTGAATGGTGTGGTTTTCACAAATTCCAGGGATTAGGGTGGGCAGTTTCCTGTGGTAGAGTAGTGTAGATTTACAAACCCAAGCAGTCTGGTACTGGAGTTCAGGCTCTTGAATTGGACAGGATTTACATTTCTTAAATACTCATCAGCACCATTATCTTTATGGAGAGATGGAGGTCTTGCTATATCAGAGGATGATCTCAGAACTGGGCTAAAGGGATCCCTCCCCACCTCAGCCTCCTGAGTAAGCTAGTGCTACAAAATGCATGCCATTTATGCCCAGCTACCAACATTGTCTTTTATTAGCATCACATTTAGAGCTCATATCATTGCCCAATCAAGCACTGATATATCAAACTGAACAGTGTTAGAATCCTTACCATTGTTTCCTTAGTAGCTTGCCCTGTAATTGCCATTTCCATTTCTCAATCCATACTGATATGATATGATAGGAATGAAATTGTGTAGTTGAGAAGCAGCATTTGTGCTTTGAATAATTTTTCTCATTAAGTATTTTGGAATGATACATGAATTTATTACATCAGTGTTTCCATGAAAAGTGTCTTTTTCTTTTTTTTTTTTTTCTTAAGAGGTGGGGTCTTGCAATGTTGCCCAGACTGGAATGCAGTGGCTATTCACAGGTATGATAATTGTGCACTACAACCTCAAACTGCTGGGCTCAAGTGATCCTGCTGCCTCAGTCCTCCCATGTAGTTGGGACTACAGGTGCAAACCACCAAGCTTGGCTAATTTAAAAAAAATTTTTTTTGGTTTTTTGAGACAGTCCCACTTTCTTGACCCCAGTAGAGTACTATGGTGTCATAGCTCAGAGCAACCTCAAACTCTTGGGCTGAAGCAATTCTCTTGCCTCGGCTTCCCGAGTAGCTGAAACTACAGGCAGCTGCCACAACACCTGGCTATTTTTTAGCTATGGGGGTCTCACTCTTGCTCATGCTGGTCTTGAACTTGTGAGCTCAGGAAATCCACCTGCCTTGGCCTCCCAGAGTGCTGGGGTGACAGATGTGAGCCACCACACCCAGCCAAAAAAATTGTTTTGTAAAGACTAGCTTCACTATGTAGCCGAGGGGGTTCTCCTGGCCTCCCAAAGTGCTGGGATTACTGGCATGACATGCAGCCCCTGGCAAAGTTTTTATTATGCACATTCCTTTCTTAAAGTTATACTTTGTTTTAGGCAGTTAAAGAAGCTATTTTCTTTCTGATCTGAAAGATAATTTGTAGGCTTTTTTTTTTTTTTTTT